TTCCTTCATGTAAACGTGGAGAGATCTGTAACTCTTGTGTTCATTTTGCTATCAATACAAATCATCCCCTTATTTAGACATTTAATATCCTGTCGTGGCTCTTTAGTCCACATTCTTTTAAATTTCTAATTTTTAACGTTTCTTTCTCAATTCATTCGATCATATATAACATTTGTGTATAATTTCAGACCTTATTGTGATACATACATTGACTTCAAATGTATCTGTTTTATTTACTTATTTAATTTTACTCATTTGCTATAATTTCGTAGCATTTAACAAGTTTATTATTTGAAATTGAAACGGGAAACTTACTGTTTTCTTTTACCTATTCTTTTGGGTCGAAACGTTGTGTGTAATAAACTAATTAAATAATTCTAGCCAGTTGTGTTGACTATAAGTTTCCCGGCTTAATTTTTAATCATTACTGGTGACAATAAGCCAACTCTCCTTTCGTTTATTATTTTCTCTTAACGTCTTTAAGTTATTCACCTGCACTCTTTACACGTTCTTTTAATTATGTGATATATTGCGTTTCTCGACTATAAATATGTTATTTACCTTAGTGACTTGCCGCTCACGTTGTGTTTCATTTTTCGACCACGGTTTCTTCCGATTCCGACGTTCCAATGATTTTATGGTGAGTTAAATTTGAATACCGCAGCAGGGAGGTCCAGGTTATTCTGACTGAGGTAATATTTTTCGCAACAAATGTTATAATAAAATTACTTAGGCACTAACACCTTGTCACGGCTCAGTGCTCTTGTATTCTTCGAATTTAAATATCGGTTTTATAATCCCTAATCTATTGGCATATTAAAACATTTTTTACAGACTATAATTAATTACGCGCTAAACAAATACCTGTGCTCGACTCTCAGTACCAGAATTTATACATATATTTCCGTTATCAATAGTGTAATTGTTACACTCATTGTTTATGTAACCTTACATACTCTTTACAGTCTGGGCGTGGATATACACCCTTTGTATTACAGGAAGAGTCATCGCAAGCAACTTGGCCGCCACGGAGTCGCACGTGGTTTGCACAACTTTGAGAGACCGATCGATCGACCTGCGCTCTGAATATCGATCGGCCATGCTATACCAGAAGTAACACTTTTCGCCTATACATATGTGCGTAGATATCAGTGCAAATCTCTGTGTCAGGATTAGAACTAATGCGACAGTCTCGGAGAACGATGTATAGAAATTGTTTCGAGGGACGGAAATAAGAAGCTCCGCAGCTACTCCTTCTTTCCGTCTTTTCGATAAAAGTAAAAAATTTCGTCTCTTTTCGGTCGACATAAGTCAAGCATTTATTCTCAAATATAAATTCCTCGTCCACGCCGTCCTTCCGCGAAACCAATTCCGCAGAGCGACAGTCTCTTTCTGTCGCATAATCGAACGCCCGTCCACATGCGATCGCGTTTTACAACGTCAATGATAAAGTAAACAATTTCAATCCGGTTTTCGACTCGACGCATCAGGTAACGAGAGCGCGAGCTACTACCGTCAATCTCGTTACGTTCTTATCTTATCGCGGTTATAATTTGTGTCAGCATAATGTAGCGAAATTTTCAAATCATGGCACGGCACGGCACGAGGACGCTGCGACGAATGGAATTCGCGACGGAATATTCCTCCTTCGACGAGACATCGTGCCGTTCTTTCGATCGTCGATAAAGTGCGCTACTAGACTCCGAGGGAGGGGAGAGGCAGAAATTGGATGAATGGTGGGGTTGCAATGACACAAGTTTCAAATAAAAATCGTTAAGGCCCGGTCTACAATGAGTCGTTAGTCCTTAGTCAGAAGTCGCAACTATATGTTGATCCTTTTCCTTTCTGAGTGGAAGGAAAAGGACCGACATATAGTTCCGACTTCTGACTAACGACTAACGACTCATTGTAGACCGGGCCTAAAGGTAGTTTCGAAATAAGCTAAGCGCACATTAAGAATTACGTAAAGCTTAACCCTTCCTGGCCACACCTCAGTAGAATAGCAAATTGGTCGCACGGGGTCAAAGTGACTCCAGCAACGTTAAACAGTCGCCATGTCTAAACTAATATTTGTTGTGCGTACATACCAGGTTAAAAGAATTACTGAAAATTCTTCAAACATTCAAAAATCACGCATATTCGAATCAAAAGTGTTAGTAATTTCAATTTTAACATACTCAAAAGAAATTGTGAATGTAAAAACCCGGAAATTACTTTTGCATAAAAATTCATAACCCTTTAAAATTTTAATTTAATGTCTTTTGGAAAACTTTGAATATTCCAGAGATATGCTTTAAAGAAATGAGTGCAACAGTGCACGTGTAAAGTAATTGTTTTGAGAAATAAAGGAAGAGTAATTTTGGAGAAACGTGAGATGTGTGCAGTTACTAAAAAGAAACATTTATATTTCTACAATTATTTTTATTCTTGGAATTTTTGTTCAGCCTTAAATTTTCGCTGGGTAGAAGTGACCAAATAGGATTAAACCTTTGCGACCATTTCAACAAATTTAACATCTTGTTCCGCCAACTGCATAGGAAAATGTAGAAGAATTCTGCGATAGAAATTTTAGATACTCTTTTTTTTTAAAGTAAAAGGTAAAGTATTGGATATTTTCTAATTATTAATTAATATAACTCAAAAACGATTTGTTGCATTTTGTCTTGTATTTTGATAATATCGCTTGAGATATGTTCTCCGACGAGATCTGGTTTCCTCCCACATTAAATTGATGAGCCAAATTTTCGAATTTGTTAAATATTTAACGGCGCAAAAACAAGATGAAGCAAAAACATTGCAGATATGATGTAATACAAAGACTGAATCATATAATAAACGCGCAAAGAAAGAATCAATTAATTACAACAATTCAGTAATTATTTAATTAAGTTAATGAAATGAAATGAAATTTTAATCAATTGCTTAATTAATTCAAAAATACGGGAGAAAGCATATAAGAGTTGCATGTCGAGTCTAGCTCGATTAAAACTGCTAAAACGAAATATTGTGTCGAATCCATCTCTACACATATCTTGGAGTCTTACGGCTCCTGCATAGACAAAGGGGCAAAGCGCGGCGAAAGTTGGTGCGAGAGCTAATCAAAGTTGGATAGAGTTTAACTTTTTCCGTGCAGCGAAAAATTTGATTGGTGCGTAAGGAACAAAGTAAAAGCTCAAGAATGTAAATCTTGCAAAATATTGAATATTGTACTTTATCATGCAATCATATTCTTATCATAATAGTATCATTTTTGTTAAAACAGACATTGTGTATACATTATCACCATAGTTAAATCCTTACATATTGTTATGAGTATCGGAAATCATCCACAAGTTGAAATTTTCGCGAACCAAATCAAACATGCTTAAACTGCTTACTCTTGTATCCCCGTTACCTACTTATGAAATTGGAGTGCAACAGCTTTTATGGTCACAGGGCGCCTTAGTAGCACAGTGCTATTGCTTAAACATTTCTCTAAAATTGATGATATTGGAAATGCATTAGCCACCAGCTAGCATTATGTACAACGTACCGTTATCGAAAAATCAGTTTATCTTTAACACCCGTAATTTTCAAGAAAATTGTATTCTTATCAAACATAACGCACCGACCGTACTATTAAAACTTTCGTTAAGCAAAAATATATTGTCTAAAAGTACAACTTATTGTGTAATTTTACGTGAAATTATAACGTTTATTTTACTTACAATTAGATTAAATTGAATTAACACTATTTTGCTGACTTGTGTAAAATTTAAAATAATATTGCATATATGTATGTAGTATAACTGCAATATTACTACAGTGTATTGTAGTACGATTTCTAAAAGCGGACGTTTCACCGTTGTTACAATCTCGCGGCAATGTTGTAGCGAACATTTCATAAGATTTATGTAACGTTGCAACCTTGCGATGAAACGTTGCTACAGTGTTCCCACAATCTTGTTGTGCTGTTGTGCAAGACGTCCATCTTACAATATTGGACAAACGTTGGGAACGTTAGATTTCCATATTTCCCAATATTGCGACAATATATTGTGCCGACTAGGGGCAGCAAAGCTTGCCGCGCGCTGGAAATAGAGGCTGGAGGCAGCCAATCGAAATTGGAGTAAACTTAACGTTTTCTGTGCGGCGGAAGTTGGCGCGATAACCAATCAAATCTTCCGCCGTGCAAAAACGTTGAACTCTCTTCAACTTGGATTGGTTATAGCTCCAACTTCCTGAAAGAACCACAGACTTCTGTATACTACTAGACTGCTTTGAGCTGAGAAGTGAGACAAGAGTTCCGCCATGTCTCGTTAGGCGAATGTCTGTCAGTGACACACCGATGCACACATACTATTTTATTTATCTAACAAGACATGGCGGAACTCTTGCCTCACTTTTCGCCTAGAAGTCTGTGGAAAGAACCACAAAAGCGTATGGAATTGTGGTGTGATGAGCCCCGTCCTTTTCCCCCCGCCCTCTCTCTGTATCGGGCTGTCTCTCTCGGCGCACGATTGTTTAATAAAGAATCGCTCCCCAAACAGAACAAGAATTAAGTTATGATAAAGTTAAATAACTATCAAGAGTCGTATCTTAATTATGACGAAAAATCAATCAAATTATGATTGAAATTTAGAGATGCTGTTTGATGTGGTTCGCGATAATTTCAACTCGGATTATCCCATAATTATATGTTAGGACTTAAATATATAAATAATAAGGTATACAAAATGTTCGTTTTACCAAAAATGACACTATTCTGATAAGGATATGATTTATGATAAAGTACGATATTCAATATTTTGTAAGATTTACATTCTTGAGCCTTTCCTTTGTATCTTGCGGATGGAAAATCAGGATATCAATGCTTCAAAAATCAAATATATTTTCACAAATATTCGTAAAATATAACTTTGCGTAAATGATAACTTTTGACATCCTCGTGACTTTTAAATGAATTTTTGCTTCAATTTGGCGCGAAGCTGACGCGATTTTCGTGTGTGTGATCGACTCACTGTGCATCGTGCGTGTCGCAGGTTCCTGACGAGCCAGTCCATCCTGCGCCTGGTTCCCCGACGTACTCTCCATTGCTCTCCCTCTTTCTCGCCAGTCTCGTTGGCGCGTCGTCCGGCCCGCGAGACCCGGAGGAAGCGAGCGAGCGCGTCTCTGCGCATCTCGGCGACACGATGTTCAACGCCGGCAGAAATGCGGGTGACATCGCTGCGATTCTTTCCCTCTACGATCGAATCACGTCATCTCAGTGATGCCGAGCGGTCGGTCGCCGGCCACGAAGAGACGAACACGGTGCGCCACGCGAGAATCGCACGTTGCCACCGCGGACCTGGACTCACCAGGAGGCCGAAGAGGAAAGCTCGACCTTTCCGAGTTCCCGGTCGCGCGGTTCACGTCGCGCTGCGGCCGCGTCGCCGTAGGCCTCGATCGCACCACCTTGGCCTCCCCGCGTGAAGGAGAGCGAACCGTTTTAACAAAAGGGATGAGACGCACTACTGGTCTAAGACCTCGTCACCGCCGCACGGTGTCGCGGTACTGTGAGACTGCCGCACGATCACATCGCCGCCACACGTCGCCCATCGGCCGGAAATCACGTGTGCACGTGTGCGTGGGGGGGGGGGGGAATACCGCGGCACACATGCGTAAGGGGTTGCGCGCGAGGGGGTTGAGAAAACGGAACTCCCTCGGCGAGGCCGACCGAGGCCGGGGAATCGATTGGCGCGCGTTTCAGGCTACTTCGCCGTCGTTCGCACAGATTACGTTGCTCGCGGCAAGTCTGCCGGCTTGTATATACACTTCTACATCCTGCATCGCATCGTTTGGTAACTCTGACAGTTCTGGTAGAAACCGACGCGAATGATTGGGGGAAATGGCCCCAGTCCAGTCTCGGTAGGGCTGATTTTTTGTAGATTAACCCTTTGAAGTATACATTTGTCTTTTCAGTCGATTTTTCTGAAACTTAACGGTTTTTGGCTCGCTGATTACGATTCTGGTGTCAGAATTACAAATTTCAAACGCAGATTTTCAGGCGCCACGTTGGATCCGCCATTATGAATTTTGTAATTCTGACCTCGTATGTGTAGTCAGCAACCTGAAAAACTTTTGACCAACCGGGTTTCAGATAAATCGATTGCATTTTGTGCAATTTCGACTCTTTATATCCTATACAGCACAGTTGGTTGCACCGAGTAAGCAAGGAACATTAAATCAACATTTAGAAACATTAATTCCATGTAAACTTTCTTAACGTTTTTCTATAATGTTTTATAAATATTGTAATTATATTATTTTATAATATGGCATTTTTTAATATCATAGAAACGTTGTGAAAATATTAGTTTAATTATATTTTCTGTTAGTTTAACATTTTTATTTGCGTAAATGCAACATAGATGCAATGTTTCTAATTTGTTACAAATTTTATTTTTAGACTAATGTTCTAGCAGTAAAATTTTTCTGTTATAATGTTTCCTTTGAAACATTATAATTATACAGGGTGTCGGATTCGATTTGGACCACTCCAAAGATTATAGTAGATTGGGTCAAACTGAGAAGAAAAGTTATATACCATTTTACAAAATCCGTAATTATTATCGCGTAATGAAGAAAAACGTCTGAGCCAATAAGTGCACGGAGGAGCGGAAGGCCGGACTCGACAGACATGCAAAATGGTGTATTTGTTGACATCTCTCAAGATCCGATAGCGAGAGGTGGAGTCACGCATCGATCGATGAGAGACGTCGGCGAGCGGGGAGCGGTGAGCGGGCGAACGGCGCGCAGCGAGCGAACGCGCGACATATGACACCGCGCCGAAAAAGTTTTTCTGGTGGTAGGAGAATAATACACCATTTTGCATGTCCGGCCTTCAGCTCCTCCGTGCACTTATTGGCTCAGACGTTTTTCTTAATTACGCGATAATAATTACGGATTTTGTAAATTGGTATATACCTTTTCTCCTCAGTCTGACCAAATCTACTATAATCTTTGGAGTGGTCCAAATCGAATCCGTCACCCTGTATATTATGAACTTGGTTAGGTAACGCGTGGACGAATGGTTGTGTGAATGAGAGCGGATACTTTGTAAGAGTATTTTAGAGAGATAAGTATTGCGAAGATAGAGAAGAGAGTAGGGAGAGGAAAGCGAGAAGCGAGTAGAGGCGGCAGAAGTGAAGGTGGAAAGTAGAGCGTGCGGAGAAAGGTAAGAAAGACAAAAATAGACAGGCGGGCGTAAAGTTTGGTTAGAATAGGTAGGAAATCGACCGGATATAAGATAGGATATAAAAGATGTCAGGAAGGGGAGGGAAGACTAGCAAGGGAACGAAGGATGATAAGCAAAGGAAGCTGGACCTAGGGGAGGATAGGAGTGGTAAGAAGGTTAGTTTTGCGGAGGCATTGGAAGATAAGAATTGGACATTTATTCAATGTTACGTACGAAACATTATATTGAATATAAGAAAAAACATTTGTACAATATTATTCACAATGTTAAGGCACTTCCATTCCAACGTTGTAATAACCTTAAAATTGGTGTCAAAGTTTGTTCATAATGGCGTTAATTACAACGTTAAAAACCACATACTGAACAACGTTATACGTTACTGAGTAACGTTATAATAACGTTATACTAATGTTTTCTTGCTTACTGGGCAGTTACATTGCAGAAACGTTGCAATCTTGCAGATTGCAGTGCAATCTTGCAGAGACATTGCAGGGATATAAAATTGCAAACTTTCGATAGCAATATTGCAGCAATGTTTCAAAAATAATAAAAATACTATATTTTCTATTAAATAATTTTTTTTAACTACGAGAATTTTATAATGTTTGTGTATAAAAATAAACCGATGAAAAGAATAGCAATTGTTTAGAAATTTAGAAACTCTGCATCTATTCAGGCGATTAAAACCTGTGTCCATGATGCTAGTACTTGGTCCAAGTTCTAATTCCGCGAAATATGTAGCCAATCAATATAGCTGTTCCAAAAAAGCTGCAAGTTGATTGGCTACGCATTTCTCAAAACTAGAACTTGGACCAAGTACTAGCATCATGGACACAGGTCTTAATTCGCCTGAATAGATACAGAGTTTCTAAATTTCTAAACAATTGCTATTCTTTTCATCGGTTTATTTTTACACGAATACATTCGTCTGTTTATTCTTGAATACATTGTCGTTAACATAAAAATGTTTCTTGGCTTTTTAATGCAGTTTATACTCGTTGACATGTTAATGTTTTCCGCCTAAGGACGTTATTTAGAAAAATTCTTATTTATATCAAGACGTGTCTTCTCATCCTTGGAGAAGATAATTTTTTCTGTTATTAGCATACAATGTGCGATCGCGTTAATGATGATC